CGGGGCTGAGCCCGGTGCGGTGCCCGCCGGAACGGGGCTGGCGGCGGCCAAAGCGGGACGCGCTGTGCGGTGGGACGGCAGCCTGCGAGCTCGGTGCCCGGCCCAGCTCCCGATTCCCCTCCCTCCCCTTGTGTACGCTTAGAGATTTTCCCTCCCTTCCTCTTTTTTTTTTTTTTTTTTCCCCCGGTTTTGTTGCCAAGCGCAGGACTGGAGTCCCAGGGATGCTGGGACGGGAAGCTGCGCTTTCCCAGACAACCCAGTGCCTGCCCTCCGCCGGCACTGGGAACGGGTGCCCCCCCCCCCCCCCAGGGCACCCACAGCACCCAGCTTCGGTGGGTGAAACCAGGCCATCTCCCCACCGCCCGCCCCCCTCACCCAGGGCTGCGGCTCTTCTCGCCCCCCGCTCAGGCTGGCCGGGTGGGCAAAGGCTCGGTACCCACCCGGGGCAGGCACCCGGGACCCCCACGGCCACCCCCCCGCTCGGCACAGGGCAGGTGGCAGCTGAAGAGCAGAGATATCTGAGACCCCGAACCCAATGCCGTGTGTGCTGCGGGGGGGCACCCTGGCTGGGCACTTGGCTACAGCACCCTACCACCCACCACCCATCTATCCAACATTTTGGATTTAACACTCCCCTCTTCCACCCTTCCCCCCCCCCTCAGGTGCTCATTTTCCAGCCAGAGCTGCCCCAAGCCCCCCCATCATGCTGGAACGGCCCCCCAGGTACCCCACCATCACAGACATCCCAGGAGCGTGGGTTTTCCCATGTATTTTGGTGAACAGATGTTTCTTCCCTGTGGAAAGCTGGAAGGGGCTGAGCTGACTGAGCACACAGGACACGAGTGTGGCAGGTCTCAGACCTTCCCTCCCTGCTGCACCATGGTTAGGACCCACTTGTGGGACCCTTCCCCACAGGCAGCTCGGCTCTCCCTTGCACGCTGACGCTGGCTGGCCTGCCGGTACCACTCCCAGCCCTGGGAAGGGTTGCCTGACTTGTCCAAATCCCTGCCTCAGCTCTATTTTTAGCTTTTCGTCCTTATTTAGCAGCGAGGCCAGCCGGGAGCATGCAGGCAGGGCGCGGGAGCAGGCAGGGGCCATGACGGATGCTGCTGCCCACCCCGCACCGGCAGCGACAACTGCGTCGCTGATCCACTGCGGAGGCTTAAGGGTGAGGAATAAATAGCCCTGTTCCTCCCACCCAGGAGCGGGGTGGAAAGTTATCCCCCGGGATTAGTTTTCACTTTGAGGCCCCAGAGCAGCCGGGGAACAGGGATGGGGACGGGGATGTGTGGGGAGAGGCACGGGCACGACCAGAGCATCGTGTTTGGGGCCGGGAGGGAAGCAGAGACCCTCGCCTCAAGCCCCCGGCACCACATACTTTCCTGCTTCTCACAACCAGTGTGGGTGAAGGTTTCACTCCCCCATTCCCCTCCTTCCTCCCTCCATTTTGCTGTCAGGAGAAACACGAATAAAAGACTGTAAATACAGGTTAACCCACATCTTTTTGCTTGGAAAAACACAGGCAGGGCAGAAATGACTTGAAACTGCTGCTCTATCTCAAGACAGAAGCATGCGTGACCTAGATCCCCACCAAAGGAGTCTGTGACCTTTTTTTGGGCTGCAACACATGCAAGATCCTCTGTAGTTCAAACAGTTTTCTGAGCTATCTCACCCGTGCAAAGCCCGAGTCACAAGGTCTCAAGCAGATCTGGCTAAACATCTTTGATTTGCATTGAAGAGGAGCAGCCAGCACAGATGGGTGACAATGTCAATGACTTTGTTTAGTTCTCATTTACAAAAGCAAACAGATTGCAAAAATTATGTGTGAGGCTGAAGGGTGCAACCACAGACCACCTTCTCTCCACTGTCTGTGCCATCAGCTCTGCTGGGACATGCTAGGCATTGCCATGGGCCAGCTCATTGCCCAAAAACCTTCCAGCAAAATCTTCTCTCCCTGTTTTTTTTCCAGGCTGGGTTTCTGAAAGAAAAAAAAGAAACAAAAAAAAAAATGAATGACCCCATCTGCGCTCACTGGACCACCCTGCACTCGGACCATGCAGGGGTGGGTCCCAGATGGAAATCCCAGGGCTGGCACCAACACCGCCTTGTACCCACCCCATCCTGCCCAGTCCTTACCAGCTGGAACTGGAGAGAGAGCTGAGACACTTTAACAGCTTGCATAAATACTTCTCCTATCCATAAGCTTTGGCAAACACTTTAAATGACCATTGGTACAAATTAACTCAACATTTGGCCAGCTGTTACCCCATTTACGGTAATTCAGCTGAGCATGAGATAAACCCTCCTAGGCTGGCTTTTCCAGGCAAACCCCTTGAGATATCTCCAGACGCTATCATTCCTGGGGAGAGATCACAATAACACTGAAAAAGATATCAGAGCAAACTTCAAAACAAGCGGAAGCTGCCCCAGGTGTGTCCGTTGCACCCCGCCTCCACTTTCCTGTCTTAGAACAGGCAGAAATCCCTTCGCTGCCACAGTCCCCGTTACCTCCAGCCCTCTGCGAGCAGCCTCCGGCAGCCCCAGCCCCACATGCGCCCCAGATCCCCAGGCTCCTCTGGTTAGGGAGAGGGGGATGAGTTGCTGCAGCCATGAATCCCACCCCTACACCACCACAGAAAGGCCCTGCTTTGCTTGAAAGCAGCTGGACAGAAAAGTTTCTGGCTGTTTAAGTGCTGCCCTGCAAAGGGAGCAAATTATCAGTGCATTGGGGCAGGGGAAGATGAAGCAGGGCTGAGATGGGACATCTCTCCAGCAGGGACACATCCCGTACAGCCCACACAGGAAAGATTGGAGAAACTGAAAAATGGCTAAAATCAAGCTAAAATAGGAGACCTTTGGGGCAGCACAGGCAGGGCATCTGGCAGGCAGCCTTGCAGATGCGCTCGCAGGCTGAAGGAAGGATATAATGTGATCTGGTGTTGCGGCTTCTCCGAAAGTTAGTGATTTATAGAATTGCAGGGTTGTAGCTGCCATGGCAAGCACGGCATGCCAGAGGCCCTGGGGAACAGGGTGCTGGAGCCGGCCTCGCTGCACATCTCCATCCCCAAGCCCCAGTTCTGCCTTGCTGGCTTGCTGCCTCAGCCTCATGTAACCAAACCCTCTGTTTTTTCACCACCATTAGCAAGAGAAACCCTACCTGGAGCCCCACTTTGTGCCACGGGGGTATCCCAGTGCACCCTCCCAGCGCCCCCCAGTTAAAACCAGAAATTACCACGAGCACATGTGCAAACTGCTGGACCTTCGTGCACCAGCAAGACATGAAGGCAGCTGGACAGGCTCCTCGTCAGCAGCCCACACAGTTGCTTCTGTTCGCAGCCACGATGCAAATTAATCGTTTGCAGCAATGCAAATTAAGCCTGGAAATAGGCATGTGCTTTTGTGCTTCCCCCTGTACGCCTTCAGTCTCCAAAGTCTGGGCCAGGATTTTGAATTAACCCTGGAGAGGTGGAGACCAGCACCTTGCACTGACAGAGCTTTTTATCCCACAAACGATCTACTCAGCCCAAATAAGTACTCTCAGGCAGGGAAGGAGACTTGCCTCATGTAAGAAGTGCTGGGAGAGATAAGAATAGAGACGCTTTCAGTGGTTTCTGAGCAGTGGGAGCTGATGCCAGGGAGCTGCTGTGACTCACGAAACTTCACAGAAGTTAAGCAGCACCTACTCAAGTGCACACAGGCAACTGGTCCCACCAGTCCCTGGGAGACTCGGGGCAGCCATGGGCCTGCCCCTCACCTTCCCCACCCTCCTATCCAAGTGGTGTTTCACAATTTCCCCTATCCCAGGGTTACCAGGGCAGAAAAAACACCGCCAAGTTGCACATGATGGGGCAACCATACACCTCTGCTCCTTCACTGGCCGGCTGGGCAGGCAGCAGTGCCGGAGCTGTGGCAAAACACCAGTGTCCTGGCAGCCCCCGAGCCGCGGGCTGCTTGGACTTCTCCCAAGGGATATTTGGAAAATGTCATAGTAGAAATTTGTTGACAAAACTGGCAGTGTTTCCATATGGGCACGGCCTCGTGACTAGGTTGAAACACTCCTATTTCAGCAGTGCTGAGTGGCAATGCTTATTTTTCAGGTCAGAATGTGTGTTCATTTAGAAATGTCTATTATTTCACAGCATTTAAAAAAAAAAATCGTCAAAACCAAAACATTTGGAGGAACCTGCCTTTACTCCCTCTAATTTTCAGACAGGACACTTTCAAATCCATCTGTTTCCCTACCTCTTCGGGATCCATTTCCAAAGCACAGGATTTCCTCCTGGAAAAGGGCACCCTGGATCCAGGCCCAGCATTTCGGGTGTCTGGGATGCTCAAGAGGGGGGGTTGCCAGGATGCAGTCCCCCAAGCAGTATGGACCACACTGAAAGCCCCCTCCAGCCAGCAGAGCTACCCCCAGAGCAGAGCTCCTGCCAGAAGAAAACACCCCAAAACCCACCACTTTTACCAAACTACCCCAGCACAAGCTGAAACTTCATGGGGTGATGGCAAAAGCCAGCACGGATCCTGCCTTCGCCCCTCACATCCCTTCTCCCCGGGGGCTGGGGTGAGTTCACGAGTGGAATCCCCCCCGAGGCAGCCCTGCTCCAGCTGGACCCCAAACCTGATGCAAGGGTCCTGCTCCCCTTTCTCCCCACCCAGGAGAGAGTACCCCCGGCACAGGGGGTAGCATCCTCAGTGCAGGGGACCCCAGGGTCAGTGCATTCCCGGGGCGAGGGTGGTCCCACTACCCTGCTTGGGACGAAGCACCCCGGGTCCAGGGCGGGGACACCCTCGGGTGGAGGGGCCCCCAGGGCCGGAGCACCCCCGCCGGGCTCCCAGGGCCAGCCCCGGGGGCGGGCAGGCTGCAGCCGGGGGCCCTGCCCGCGGCTCGGGGGTGCAGAGCACCCTCTCCCGGCGCTGCCTGCGAGCAGCTGCGGGGACTCCTTTTTTTTTTTTTTTTTTAATTATTAATTTTTTTTTTTTTTTTTTTTTTCTGCCTGCCAGCTGGGGCGGCTCATCCCGTCCCGTCCCTGTCCCGGTCCCGGTTCCATCCCGGTCCCACCGGGCAGCGGAAAACCTCTCTCCGGGGGATGCAGAGCCCCGCGCCCCGCGGCTGAGCGGGCTCCCGGCCCGGGGGGCTCCATGGGCTGCACCGGCAGCGCCCTGCGCTGCTGCCCCGCCGGCGGCAAGGTAGCGGCTGCGGGGGGGGACTTGCTGGGCTGGGCTCGGGCTGGGCTTCGCGTGGGGTCGGGACACGCGTGGGGTCGGGGCTCGCGTGGAGCTGGGGTTCGCGTGGAGCACTTGTACTGCTGGGGAGGAGGTGCGCCGGGGGCACTCGGCGTGGGTCGTCGTCCCCCCCACGCTGCCCCTGGGAGCTGCGGGGCTGGGCAGGGAGGTTTTCCCCGGCTGCGTGGGACCCCCACCGGTGTTGCGGTGGGGGAGCCGGCACGGGGCGCAGCGGGAGTTGGCAGACACCTGCCCTGCTGCACCCTCCTGCACCCCTCCGGGCTCTCCCCCCCACATCACGGGGGTGCACGTAAAGGGGGTGCAGTCTCTGGGGTGACAATGCCTGTTGGAAATGCTGGTTCCATATAGGACGGGGATGGGTTCCTCCAGCTAGACCTCTGCCATCCTCCCACAGCATCCTCCCTTATGCCAAAAGTTGTGTCCCCCCTTGTGCCGGGTCCCCCCTTGTGCTGAAGGCTACAATTCTGCAGGGGAACGCTCTGAGTCCCCAGCAGATCTCAGTGCATTGCTCTGCGCTGAAGAGCTCTTCTGTGAGTTAAGGTCTAGAAATTATCTCCTGCTAATTCTTATTATTTTTTGACATGCTCATGCTGCCTTATCGCCCCGCCATCAGCCTCAGGAGTTGTTTGTGAAGTTGTGAAGTTGTGAAGTTGTGCTGTGCGTGCTGGTGTCAGTGGGTTGTGGTCGCTGAAGGGTGGCAGGGGCAGGAGGAAAGTCAGAAAGGGCCCACGGTACCCGCGTCCCCCTTACCCGGGCGGCCCTTTGCGGAGGCAGCTGTGAGAGCTCGGCTGCCCAGGACCATGCGGCCAAAGCACAAGCCGCTGCTGGGATGTGTGGGGGGAGCAGGCACAGATCTTGCACATCCCCCGGAGCCAGCAAGTGCCTTTATTTACAGCACTTGCAGGCTTGGCTGCTTCTCTATATCATGGGAAAAAAAAACCCACTCCTTTTTATGTCATAAGATCAGACACTTCTGGGCTGGTTTGTGACTCTGAGAGCTCCCAAGAAGGGGCATGGCACAGGGAGAAACAGCAGCCCCGAGGGCCCAGATGTTGAGAATCACACATTTACCGAAATGCGGAAATTTGAGTCAGTCATTTGCCTGCAGACGCCTCCCTTCCTGCACTTGCCCGCTCTCAAGCTTTCTGCTCAGCCTTGTGGTGCTGCTCACCGCAATTTGTGCCCCATAAAACAGCCCTGCTGCTGTGACTAAATTGCAAGCTAATCCCGAAAGCAGCACCAAAAATCCCCTTTATGGCAAAAAGGGGTAAGGGCGGGTATTGAGCTGCTCCTGCCCAGGTTCTCGTGTCCAGGGTACCAAAAGGTGGGATGGGAGACCTTCACCCTCCTGCTGCTGATGGGTGCACTCGCAGAGCTGGTCCCTTGGGGTTGCTTGGGGATGGGGGAGCCCTCAAACCCCAGGGGCGAGCCCGGGCAGATCCTGGGTGCACATCATGGGGCTGGGGCTGTCATGGGGCTGTCATGGGGCTATCATGGGGCTGGGGGCCGCGCAGGCTTTTGGGGCCAGTCCCAGGTTGGAGGTGACCTTGGGGAGCCCGTGCTGGACTGGGTCCGGTGGGCGGACGGCATACCAGGCGCCGCTGAGTGCCCCGGGGGAGGTGGTTTGGCAGCCTCGTCCTTCCCGTCACCGGTCTGCGGGCAGCGGGGCGATAAGGGGGCACGGGCGCAGGTGCCGCGGCCAGAGCCCGGCCCCGAGCTGCGGGCACTGTCCCCGGGGGTCCCTTCCCCTCTGGCTCCATCCGCCTGCGCTTAGCCGCTCATGGTCACTGCTCGCCCTTCAGTCATGCTCCCAGCGTGAGAGAGGCCAAGACACCTTCCCGAAAGATCAGGGCTGAGGCTTGGCCACCTTCCAGGGCTGGGGTGAACTTATTTTGGAGATATAGGAACTATATGTAGCAGCAGGAGCCAGGGAAAGGTCAGGATGCAAAACTCAGGGCTGTCAACGGCGTGAAGGGTTTGCGTAGGGTTTGTGGCACAGATCTGACTGTACGAGAGGTGATAGCCATCTTGTAACACAACCGTCGCCGGAGGAAAAACAGCAGCAGAGTCGAAGACAGGTCCCACGGACCTGTGCCAGCGTGGCTCTGGCAGCACTGAGCATCTGCTGCAGGTCCCGGGGAGGGTTTAGGGCCATGGGCCAAATCCTGGCCCCCTTCTCTACAGCCACAAAGCAAAACCTTATCCCCAGAAGCAGAGTTGGGATTTAAATGCTTGTTTCCTGTCTTTTTGTGATTTCGTTTGCTGGCGGTAAAGTTGCGTGGTTTAATTGCTTAACATGTAAAACAGAAAAAGAGGAAGAAAAATACAGTACAAAAGCTCACCTCACGCTAAAAGCTGAAGCAGAGGCTGCAGCTGACCCAGCTGCCCGCAGCTGCCCACACCGTGCTGGCTGCCTCTGCGTGGGTGCTCCCCACCACTGGCACCTTTCCAGATGCCTCAGGTTCTGCTGAAAATCCTGATTAATCCATCCATAAACAGTTTTGCTCCAGACCATTAGAAATACTTAGTTCTAAGTATGTGGATGCTTTTTTTTTTTTATAGCTAGAAGGTATTTTTTGGCATGAGCATCCTCAAAGCCGAAGCCAGAGGTTTCCAAGCCGAGACCTTACAGGATAGGCAACGCTGCCGATGGCCTGCACCTGCGGAAAGTTTCAGGCTGCTTCTTCCCTGGGGCCAAAGCTGTTCCAGCTGGAGCAACTCCCAACCTGCTCCTTTCACATGCAGCGGATACCAGGACTGTCTTCCAGCTCTCCAAAATGTGCCGGGCGATAACAGAGACACGGGTGCCAGATGCTGCTCTGGACATGGCAGCAGAAGGTGCCTCTATATTTCAGTTAGTTTTCAGCCACATTTTGCTTTTCACCCTGGCTTTAGTGGTGGAGCTCTCATCCCAAAGGACAGTTGGGTACTTAGGAGTAAAATTAGCTCCAGACACTATTTTAATTGCTCCTAGAGGTAGTAGGGCTGCCTCGCTCCTAGCCTTGGGGCAGGTATTTAGATTTGTCTGCTGATGCTGGCATACCTCTTGCTCCCTTTAGTCATTTCTGAGTTCAGTGCAGTTGTCTCAGATCACCCTCCTTGAGCAGCGGAGGAGCTCTGAGGCCCCGTCCCGCTGGGTTTGGGGCATGGGGGAGAGGTGGAAATGCCCTGGATCTGCACCAGTGACATTGCCCATGCTGTGGGGGTGATCAGGGGTGACCAGCCCTGGGCTCTTTGTCCTTGAGCATCACCTTTGCCAGCAAGTGGGACACATGCAGCGGAGGGGGTTTAGTTTGGGCAGGTGAGGTTTGGGGGTCGCTCCTGGAGGAGGTACCAGCATCCCGCTCCCGGCAAGGCTCAGGTCATCCAAACCCCTTGGGGGCTGTGTGACCCTGCCGTGCCAGGATGGTCCCCCTGCACACCCTTTGCTTTGTTGCAGTAAAACCCCTTGGGGGCTTTTGAGGTTCCTGTGATGCCCCCGGGCTTGCAGAGCCCCGACTCGCTCATCTACCCCCCCTCCCCAGACTCCAAAACCCAGCACAAGGACACGGGGTATGTTAAATAGCAGGCAGATGCACATCAGCATGAGATGGGTGCAGGGTCAGGCTGGGACCCTTTGCAAGCAGGGCTGCAGGGTTTGGCAGCATCCCAGCGCACCCTGCATTTGCAGGGTTGAGCCGTGTCGGCAACAAGAACAAACCCTGCAAATCCCAACTGTCTGGTGCCTCCTCACCCCGCTGCCTGGGCCGCATTCAACGCCACGGCCGCTCACGCCATAGAAGGGAAGATAAAGCTGTGGCTTCCCAGAGGCTCAGAGTTTTCCTGCTCTGTCTGGCAACTGCGCTTCCCTCCAGCTTCAGAAGGGGGGCTGCAGGGGAGGTGGAGGCAGGGACGCCTGTTTGCTTTGCCTCACTTTTTTCCCAAGCCAGGCTCCCTAATCTGGTCTGTATTTGGCCATGCTGCTGACAGCGGGGCCGAGCCGGGGTGCAGCCGGCACAGCGGGGTCCCCGGCTCCCCACAGGCTGCAGGGCTGGTTTCGTTAGGGACCGGTATTTTTAGGGGTGGCTTTGCTGGGGGCTGGAGAGAAGCAATGTCTCTGCAGGTGGATTCCCTCACTCACGGTGCATCTGCACCCCTGCCCAGAAGCACAACCCAGTGATGAGCATCAGGGGCAAGACTTGCCCCTCACCGGGGAGGCCAAGCTGCGAAAGCAGGCGAGCTTTGCTTCTATCTTTCAGCAACAGATAAAAATATATCCACCTCTTTTTTTTTTTTTTCCTCTTCCCCTCCGAGTGGCTAAATTAAACCCATGCAGGGCTGGAAGGCATCCCGCGGAGCTGTGTTGCTGAAGGCAGCTCCCAGCTCTGGGTTATATCAGCCCCACGGCAGCAGTGGGAGCGTGCGGGAGTGCGCAGGGCCGAGCAGCACATTCCTGCGCTCCTGAGGTCATTGCTTGTGCCGTCGCCAGCCCTCGCCTGCTGCCAGCCCTGCACGGGGTCAGCATCGCCTCTGATTTATGGTTATTTTTAATTTCTCCCTCCTGCTCCAGCATGGGCTGTGTCAAAGCCCAGCTGTGTAAAGCACCGGCAGAGGGGTGTGTTTGGGGTGCTGCAAGGTGCCGGGGACCAGGCTGACCCTGAGCATCCTGGGGCAGGAGGAGGGTGGCAAGGAAGCACCATAGCCGGGGCCCTGCCAAGTGCTGCCTGCTCTCCCCCACCAAATATTTTGCTGCCAGAGCCTATTTTGCACCAGCACCATGGCAAGGGGGGTTGTGAGCATCCCCCAGGTTTTCCAGCCCGTGGCGGACCATGCCACGGGAAGCGGCACGAGCTCGGGGCTGCCTGCCAGGCGGTGCGTGCGCACCCATGGGTGCTTGGGGCTGGCAGAGGGCAAGGCATTGGGGAGGGACCACTGCTGCTCGAGCACCCCTGTTTTAGCAGGGCTGAAGCGTGCTCAGCGCAGGGTGTCTGGCTGCAGGGTGTCCTCTGCCTGCAGCCACCTGCCCCCGCTTTGTCCCCCCCTGCTCCAGTCCCCTCTCTCTCTGCCAGAGACAGCTAAAAGCCCAGCAGCAGAGGGAACCGGCTTCCCAGGAGCTCACGGCCTTGAAGACAGAGAACGGTGAGAAAATGTGTGTCTCCCCTCCCCGCTGTGCTTTCTCGGTGTGATATTAAAAAAGCAGTAGGACAGATCACAGGGCTGCCAGCCTGTGCCGGGGCTGTGGAGGATGGGGATGATGGCTGCAGCCTCCACATGGCACTGGCGCAGGTGGGCAGACCTGATGGCATCCCAGAGACGACGGCATCCCATCCTCTCAGGCAGACAGGGTGTCCCCAGGGCAGGAGTCCTAACGAACTGTGTGTCCTCTCTGAGCCTGCCAGCGCCATCCCAATTAGTGCTAATTTGCACCAGTGAGATGGGGGGGAGGTATTTGTCCAGTGGGAAGAGGACGGGGGCTGAACTTAGGCCACCGCGCTGGCAGGTCGGCTGCCAGGACACCCAAGCAGCCGGGTTAGCAGGATGCAGCCGGCGCTGTTTCAGCTGCGTTTGCGTTGCAGCCAATGCCACCCTGTTGCCTGAGGATGGGAAGGAGAAGGCAGCACTGCGAGAGGAGCGGACGGAGAGCACGAGACTCCTCCAAGGCCAGGAGGAGGAGGAGAAGCGGCTGCGGGATGCCAGCCGGGCGGGCAACCCAAAAATCACCCAGGACATTAACAACCAGGTCGGTCGAAAAGGCGGGTGCTGCTGGGGGCAGCGGCCAGGCAGGGAGCGTGTGGCTGGCTGGGACTTCCCAGGCAGCGATCATGGACCTGGCACACGCTGGGCTGGGCTTTCCTGTTTTCAGGAGAAGGAATGTGTTAGGAAGGGCTTAGGAAGCCTGGAGCGGTCTGGCAATGCGTCACTGGGGGTGGGGAGGGCCAGAGCATCCCTTAATGCTGCGTCAGACATGTAGGGTTTGTCATCTCCCTGCTTCCCAGGTGGAAAAGGGAAAAGACCTGGAGGAGCAGTTTGATGCCCTGAGGAGAGAGCACACAGAGACCCTGCAAGGTGCGTGCTGGGACAGCAGGGCTCCCCACAGCCCCCCTGCCCGCTCCCCCCACCAATGCCAGTGCCCCTCTGGCTTCATGTGGGGTTGTGGGGATGCTGCTCCCCTGCTCCATGGCACTGGGGGGCTCAGGTGGTACTCGCTGCCCCAGTGTCCCCACGCCAGTGACACTGGGCTCATGTCCCCCCTGCAGAGCTCCAGAGAGCACATGAGCAGGAGAAGGTGCTGCTGGCAGAGTCCTACCACAGGTCCCAGGCAGCCCTACAGGTATCTGTGGAGAAATCCCTGGGGAGGGGGTGCTTGTGGAGGGCTTGAGGACCATCTGCTCTTCAGCCACGGTTCCCCAAGCTTCTTGGTGGCCACCTCCATCCCTGGTGTGCCCAGGGACCACGCAGGCTCCTCCAGCCCTGGGGTCATCAGGGTGGCCGTAGCCCAGCAGTGCCCCTGCTCAGGAGGAGACACGTCTCATCCCGCTTCTTCCCCGGCTGCCCTAGGAGACGATCCAGGTGCTGAATTCCCAGCTGAAGTCCTTCCAGGAGAGGATGAAGCGGGTGGAGGAGTCGCTCTTGAGCACAGACTACAAGAAGCACATCCAGGTGCGGGGAGGGGTGTCAGGGAGGGGACTTGCCTCTGGGGTGCTGGTCCAAAGCCAGGGGTGCTTCTGTGATGGACCCTGAGAGCAGGGGGGGCTGGAGACAGGGGGGTACAGGACAGCTGAAGTGGGGAGCAAAGCCCTGTTCCTGGGAGGTGCGCGGGCTGTTGGTGTCCCTTGAACACAAGTGATGGGTGAAATGTGGTGCCTTGTGGGTACAGACCCATCCTGGGCCATGCAGGGCCCCAGCTGAGAGCCCTGGCCCACTGGGGACACGTGGTGGTGGGAGGTAAACCATGGCAGATGCCCCAAGTGCCCACCTTGCTGGAGCTGCTGCACCCCTTGTGCCCCGCAGGAGCACGGGAGTCCCAGCCCGTTCTGGGAGCAGGAGCTGGAGAGCCTGCACTTTGTCATCGAGATGAAGAACGAGCACATCCACAGCCTGGACAAGAAGCTGCTGAACCTCGAGACTGTGGTGGGTTGAAAGGGGGAGGTCACGGGTGGGCTTTTCTCTTTCCATCTCTTTTCCCCACCTGAATCCCAACCAGAAATTGCAGCTGAAGTGGAGGTGGATGGAGCCCGGTTCCTCTCTTGGAGTGGGGAGGGGACACGAGTGCAATGCCACCGTACTCCCACCAAGCCAGCGTTCTCCCCAAGATGGGGTGGCAGGGGTTTTGGAGGTGCTTTCCATCTCCCTCCTCACCCTCATGCCCCCTTCCAGGTGGAGAGGAACCTTCTGCTGGAGGAGAAGGTGAAGACTCTCCAGCAGGAGAATGAGGACCTGCAAGTTCGCACCCAGAACCACTTGGTCATGGCGAGGTAAGTGCCGGTCCCACAGGCCCACCAACTCCCCGGTGCACAGGTGGCATCTTCAATGGGGGGAAGAGATGCCAGCGGCAGGGGGGAATACATCGCAGCCTGCCACGCCACCGGCGGCTTTGCAGGGAACAGAGGGGGCTCGGGGACGCTTTTCCCGGTGGCTCCGGCAGCGTGTGCCGTTTGCCCGCAGGCAACTGTCGGAGGAGCTCCTGGCCGCTCGCGGGGCGCTGGAGAAGGAGGCGCAGCTGCGGGAGCAGGCTCGCCGCGAGAAAGAAGAGCTGCTGTACCGCGTGCTCAACAGGGGGGACGGCACCCCCTTCCCCATCGCCGCCAGCGAGGTGCCCCTCATCGCCACGTAGCACGCCACCAACCGGCGCCGCGCGCTGCCGGGGGGGCTGTCGGGGCTTTCCTCCGGGCATGTGAGCCCAGGGCTGCTCTCACAAAAGTGCCCCCGCTACCAGGGCAGGCCCCCGGGGCATCCCCGTCCGACCGGGGTGATGGAGCGTTTCACAGGACACTTGCGCTTGCCTTTCCCCAGCCTGGGTAGGGCTGCAGGGGGGACTCCGGCCACCCCCCTGTGCCATCCCTGCAACCCCTTCCTCTGGTGGGAGGCTGTAGGGGACTTTCTGAGCGTAAAAGGGGTCAGCCAGGACACGCAGACATGCATTGGGCTGGATCCGACCCAACGCTTGGCTCTGAGCGCAACCAGCATCAGGGCTGCCTGAGGGAGCGAGGCGAGGAAGATGAGGTGGTCATTAGGATGGGGATGAGCACTGGGAGGATGAGGAGGGTGCTGTGGACATGGAGGTGTTAAGGTACCTTGCTCCCTGGGGAGCATCCCTGGGAAACGGGTGGCCGAACCCAGGGCTGAGCCACGGAGGCTTTCATGGGGCAGCAACAAAGAGCAGGAGGGACAGTGCAGTTGGATATATCTGCCACCTCCAGTGCTGCCCTTGCTATAAACCATGTCAACCTGTCCCATTTTGGGGCTTGGCCTCCTCCTCAGGCTGCTGTGAGCCAATACCACCCATTCCTGCCATTTCCAGTGAAAGCAGGGCTTCCCCTGCCTGCGACCTGCCTCGCTCCCTGGGGAGGAAGGCCAGGCAGAACTCCCACCCGTGCCTTCCTCTCCCCATCACCTCCTCCATCTCCAGCAAACAGCTCCCAGGGATCACTCCTGCAGCCCAGGTGTGCCCCCACTCACTACCACAGAGATGCCAAGCCCTCCTTGTCCCTGCTGCCCATCAGCAGCACCACCAGCCCCATCTCGTCCCCCAAAACCAGGCAGAGAGTGCATGCCCGGAGGTGCATTCGGGGAGCAGAGCATCCTCCCGAGGGAGAGCAGGCTTCAGCAGTAGCTGCCAGCAGGTCACATCCCTCCCTGTTCTGAGCCAGTGCATCCCCATCGGGGAAGATGCTGCCAGCATGGCTGCGGGTCAGGGCTAGATACACACAAGTACTTTCCACTGGGTGCACAAGTGTGGTGGGACGGTCACTGCTCTGGGGGTTGTCACTGGCCTGTCCCCTCCCCAGGGCTGTTTAGCCGGGGAGTGTGTATGTAAGTGTATGTGTGTGCACCAGGCCAACGTGCTACTGGCTGTAACAATTACAAGTTTATAAGAAGCAGCAGCCTCAAGAATCCCATGTCAGTGGTTTTGGGGACCGGTGCAGGAACATCTCACAGCAGGGCTGTGTGCTCCGCACCTAGGGCAGGGGGAAGATGAGGGTGGGTAGGAGCAGGCACCACAACACAACAAGGGAACCCCAGAGGAGACCCCTGCTGCCGGTCCCCCTTTCTTGCTCCTTCCCTCATTTCATTCATTTCAATGGGCTCCCAGCATAGGGCAGACCCCAACCCTCCCAGCCCTGCCAAGCTTGCGGGGCCACTGCAACAGCCTCTTCCATCCTTTGTTCCAATCCTTACTGGGAAAATATCGGCTGAACAAGGCAGCTAGGAAGGCAACACAGATGCAGGGTCCAGCTCTCAACCAAGAACCTCCATGGGGTGCCCAGAGTGGGAAAAGGGAGTCCCTGATGATTAGACCCATGTGCCCCCAAGCCAACCACTGCTCTGCGCATCCCCGTGGCTCCGAGGACGGGTGGTGGGACAGCCTCCAGCTTCGCACAGCAACCTCAGGGATGTGGAGGAACGCACCAGGTGGTGTAGCACCAAAGCAGGGGTCATGGGGCAGGTTGCTGCCCCAGCAAATCCTGCCTAGCTGTAGTTGAAGGGAGAAGGATGGCTAGGCAAAGGGAGATGAGGCTGGCAGGGTCAGGCATCCTGCTCCGGGCACCCGGTACTGCATCCCACTCCCCCTGAAGGCACATGCTGCGTGGGACCCAGAGGAATGTGCCCAGCTCTGGGAAAGGGGAGTGCTGGGAACCGAGGAGGAGGAATAAATGAATCCAGAAAAGGACTTGACTTACCCACAGTAAGTAGGAAAAAGCCCAGCACAGGCAGTGCCTGCGTGGTCACAGGGGGACAGGCAGGTCAGCCCTGCCTGCCTTGGGGTGCCAAGGCAACATGAAGGGTCAGAGCAGCACGAGAAGCCTCCACTCCGTTCTGCTGTGAGCAGCTGAGGGACAGGGTGGGCAAGGGGACAGGGAGAAGTTGGGGGGCTGCAGGGAGAGGTTTCAAAGGCAAAAAAAAAAAACCCAAAACCAATGCACAACCCAATAACAGCAGCAAGAACACTTGTCTGCTTTATCCTCTCCAAACAAAACTCCTTCAGCAGGGCCTTGCCATGAGGATTCAGGTTGCTCAGGGAAGTTCACCAGACTCAGCAGAAAACAGCACCCAGGGCTCGTGTCAGGGCTGTGCCACTCCGTGGGACAGGACCTTCAGCCCAAGGGCCCTCTTTGCCCCTTGGGCACAGGGTGGAGGGAGCCAGGCGCTCTGGGACCAGCCCGTCTCCTTTTATTGCCCTGGAGCAGATGGGCACCAGGCAGTCCCACAGGGCTCTGGGGACACCTCCATGGCCGTGCTTCCCGGCGGCTCCTGGGGGGCTGCCCCTTTGGGCCGGTGGCTCTGAGTGCTGTGCCAGATCCCATAGCCAAAGTAAATGAGGAAACCTGGGAATGGGCAGAATAGGTTGGGGGGGTCCTCTCTCTTCCCTCCCGGCCACAAAGTTCCCACTCCTTTGGGCCACACGTCAGAGGATGGCGTGGTCCCGCCACCCTTTGACACTAAAATTCAGCATCTCTTCCATCCACCCACCACTGCTCTGCAGCCAACGTTAACCCATCGGGCTCTCAAACCACCTATGCTTCACCCAAAGAGGTTGCCACCAGCTCCGGGACCTCGAGGGAGGCTGAGCTTACCGATGGCCATCCAGAGCAGGTACCGCAGCCAAGCGGCCGCACTGAGCCGGGCCATCAGGATGCTGTTGATGGTGATGCTGAGGAGTGGCAGGAAGGGCAGGCAGGGAACCTACAGGGACCAAGCACAAGGCAACAGGATCATGCCTTTGCCCAGAGATACCGGCCCACCCACAGGCAGGGGTTTCACAGCCCACTTGAGCTCTTTGCTGCTTTGGCTAGTTGCCGACAGGCAAGGGGAAGCCCAGCCTGGCCGTCGGGCTGTGAGGCTCAGAGACCTGAGCTGGGACTGCAGCCTGTGCTGGAAAGGGATGCTCGTGGAGGGTGGTTTGGTTGACAGGTCCTGCACCAGGGCAGGAGGTGCTGCAGGATTTAAGGGGGAGGCAGTAAACCACTAGCAAAACCAGTCCAGGGTGTCAAGACCAGGTTTTTGTACTGAAGAGCCGCTCTGGTTCGTGCAGCATGTGCCCCTTTGGCCTGTGAGACACAGGGGGAAGAACGAGGCAGCCCTCGTGGTCCCTACGAAAAACCCAGCAAGCCGCCTGATGCGCTTTGTTCAAGGTGGATGCAGCAAAAGTCTGCCTGACCTGAAGCAGAGCAAACACCGCCCCAATGCAATGTAACCCTTTCCCCACGGAGCTGTGGCACTTGCCTCTCCTCCATCCCCGGGTCCTTCTCCCTGGGGACAGTCCCCAAGGGCTCAGCTCTGTGCTCACCATGAAGGATGCTCTCTCCCGGCTCTGAGGCTGCCTCCAGACGAGCAGAGCTGCCACCAGGATCCCCAGGAGAGGCAAAACCAGAGTGGCAATGCACCAAGCACCCCCAGCCCGGAGGCACGGCAGCCCTGCAGTGCTCACCCAGCTCAGGACGCAGACCAGGGCGGCTGCGGAGGGACCACGGCAGCATGTCAGGGCAGCGCTTCCCCGGGCTGAGCCCGACCCTGCCCCGGGGTGCAGCAGGCTGGCTGCCATGGTGGGAGGGAAAAAGGACAACCGGGGACAGGACTGGGTGGCTTGTCATGGTGGGTTTAGCTTTTTCCTCCAGCCTAGGAAGCAGAGGGAGTGGGAGGTTTCCCAAGGTCCCGTTGGGGCAGCCAGCCGGACGGCAGTCAGGAGAGGGCAGGAGGGAGCCAGGCAGACCCTGCCTGCATCCCGCTGCCGGGTGGTTTTCTGTGAGCAGGAACTTGCCAGCCCGTGCTACAGCAGCTATGTCCCCCGTGGGTCCGCCCACGCCAACTCCCCATAAAGCCCATCCATCGCTCCCAGGCGTACCTACGGCTGTCAGAGCCCAGGCCACCACAGCAGAGGAACACGGCGTGGGATGCAGAGGTGGTCGGACAAGATGGTTCCACCAGACCTGCACAGCCAGGACCTTCCCCGCAGGAGTGTCCTGAGTGCTGGGTCCAGGCTGGTACCTGAGGAGCAGATATAGGATGTCAAGGCACCTGAGCATGCACCTGCACTGCACCAAGGCCAGTTCCTTGTCCCAGGCATGGCCAACATCAGAAGTTGGGTGAGCCCTATCCCCTGTTCTCAGCAGTCTCACCTGAGCAGCAGCGCACAGCCAGCCACCAGCGAGTATGCCAGCAGCGTGCCAATGGACATCACATCAACCAGGGCTTTCAGGTCAAAGAGGAGGGCCAGAAGAGCTGCGGGGATGAGAAGCCCTTTCAACCTCTCGGCAGAGCTGGCAGCACTGCTGCTATGCCCATCTCAGCCACGCTCTCCCTGTGTCCCCCTGACACCCACTGCAACAGGACTCAAGCACCTTGATGAGCTGGTGATGCTTCGGTCACGAGTACAAAGCATCCTGCCACCTCCTGCCTGGCAGCTCAGAGAGGCTGAACTGGTGTCCAGGACAGCATCAAGGCCAAACTGTCTTCACCCACAGTGAGGACACCTCTCTCTGGTTGGAGAGATATTGCTCAAAAAGCTACAGGCAAGCTAGGGGTTCTGTGTTGTTCTGCTGAAAGAGGACATCCACTAAGCCCTGCTGAAGGTTAAGGGGTAACCCAATCACTCACCCACCTGCCACTGCTCCA